CTGTCACCCAATTGCCAACATTACCCCTTCCTCACAGCATCACTTCACAGTAGAATAACCAACTTATGCTAAAAAGAACCGAACAAACAAGAGTTTTAATAACTTTAACAACACATTTATCTACACCCATGTGTTCCTTTTGTAACTAGTCTTCTGTTAGTATGCAAAACACTTGTCTTAAGCTAATAATGACTTTAAATAAACAGTGTTTTTGTGTACCTTTGATGACTAGTAAGGTGGAGATTTTGAGTTGAAGAGCGTGAAGAGTCAGAGGAGAAGAAGAGAGTGTTTGGTTCATGATCAAGATCCTCGCCTAAGACAAAGGAAGATGCGGCCGTTGTGGTGGCAGTTTTGACGAGTTCCACAGGCTTTCTTGAACGGTTTCGGCCACGGTGGATGTGGCGGTCGCAATACTTGTGACCGTCTACAACATCTCTCGAACATCTCCATTTCTTCCCGTCTGTTCTCTTGCACCTCCCTGGCTCAAGATCCATCGCTCCTCTTCCCCAATACCCTGTTATATATTAGTGTGTATTCACTAGTACCATGTTGGTTTCTAACTTTCTATCAACCATAAAAAAAAAAAATCTAAGTCAATGGTTAATAATGTTTCATTAACCCAACTTGACTTGTTCTTTTGTGTTTCTCATACATTTTCTAGAAAGAAGTTTTTTCTTGCAGGATTGCACCGATACATGTATTTACTTTATTGTTTAGTTAGTCAATGAGTTGGAGTTTTTAGAAGATTCTTTCAAAGAAGCATAAACAAGAGAGAGAGACTCACAAGGTTGGTGATGAGGGAAGTTCTGTTGCTGAGGATGGTGAAGGAAGTTTAAAGGAGATTGATGGAATAGACTTTTCTTGATGGGTAAGAGGAGCTCTGGCGGAACAGAAGCACCAGCCAACATGTATCTGTAGATCAGTGCTTGTAGCTCAAGTTCTTGCCACTGTGCCAAGCTATAGAAGTTTCCCATCTCTAAAAAGACAGACAAAACCTAGATAAATGAATGAGCAATAACTTCAACATTCGAGTTGAAATAGTCTTGCCCTTTGAAAAGAAGAAACCACTTACTGAGAAACCTTGAAGAGGAAGTGTTAGGAGAGAAACATGCAATGGATGAAGATGAGGTGGGTTTAAGGACAAAGAGAGGTAGAGCAGCAGCAGAACTTGCAGTTTGAGATTGAGTCTGATCTGAAAAAAAGTTTGATATCTTAGTCGCAGAGCTTTGTTCTTCTGACTCATTCTGCTTCTGACTTCTCCATTGCTTCAGTAGCAAGTCCATGGAAGAGAGAGACAGAGAAAGAGAGAGAACTGTGTTGGTTGCTTTTAGGATAGCTTTTCCCCCACTTCTTTGTATCTTGGAGAGTCTGGCTTAATAAGCCTAGACAGCCACAACAAAAGTCTTATTTGTTTGGCTTGTGACCCCAATAAAAAGAAGCATTTTTCTTCTCTTTGTTCTATGTAGGCCAGTTGCTAGAGAAAGAGGAAAAAATTTATTAGGGTATGAGACAAGACAGTTCAGGGAAAAACAAATTTTAAGCGTAAAAGGATTGGGTTTTATATCATATTTGATAGTATTCTTGATTTATAAACGTTACTTTATCTGGTTATAAAATTATGCAAGTCAGAAAACTAGAAAGAAATCACTGCAAGATGCAAATGGAGAGATAGTAACCTGCAGTGTTTATGTCTCACTACCTTGGAAACATCACTTCCTTTTCATTTTAATATTCCATAATTAGAAGTTTCAAGATAAAAGAGAAGCATATTAAAATAGTGTGATTAAATTTCCATTCAATGTTACGTGAAGTAACCTTCAACTTTTGTGATACAGATGTCATTTAATTAAGAGATTTTGTTACAATTTACAAATGTATTAGATTCTGTGCATCATGACTTTGGATTTGACTAACTCTACAGTGAACTATGTGCAGATTGTGACCAGGGCCGGCTTGGATACTAGAGCAGGGAGTGCGACTCCCCGGAGGCTAAGGATTCAATTTTTTGTTTGTTTTCTTTTACAACTTGTTTGAATTTTTGTAAGAAAATATAGATATAAATATGTATTAACTAAATTTAGTTTTGTATATTTTCATACAATATAATAGAATAGCTTAAATAATTACATTACATTATATTTTAATTTTTAACTATTTTACTTTAAGAATTGCTTAAAAGTTATATTATATATATTATTTTTCCCCAGGCCCCTAAATGTTGTTGAGCCAGTCCTGATCATGACATAGTAGTCTGCATTTGGAAAAAATTGCAAGATATAGTTTTGATTAGATGCGAGTTGACTAAATATGATTTCCTACTTACAATAAACTACTTAATATTAACTAGGCTAAGTTAACCATAACACTGTTTGAACATTTCAACTGATCTAATTATACATGTTATCTTTTTCATGCAATACGTAGGTTTGAATCTGAGAAATGACAGATACTAGTTAATTACATATTTTTTTGCTAATCAAATTACATGTTTTTTTTGCTAATAATTTATATTGTCAGTTCTAATTTGTAACCGTCATTACTTTACCATCTATTGCATTATTATTCATTAAAACAATATGTAACGTATGCGTTTAAAACCTTTATAATTAACATTTTTATATAGTTATATGCATGGTCGAACAAAATTACTTTGTGATTTCTTTGCTTTACAAGATTGGAGTGTTTCATGGTTCCAATTTATCTCTAGAAAAATATGTAGGCCTCAAAAATGTATTATCAACAGTTATTCTGAATATTGGAGAGATTTGCCCAAAACTTTTTGATTACTATAAAAACATGACTCGCTGGTATATCTAAATATCAATAACAGGAGTACTAAGATATTACCAGAAAAGGCCAAGTAAACTTGAAAACATTTATTAAGATGTTTATACCTTCACTTGGCTGAGTAAATACAAAAACATTCATTCATTTCACACTATCTTTATCTGGTGGTTCCACGATAGTAATATTTTGTTGTTTTGAGGAAGTAAAGTAATAAATATGAGTAAAGGACGATAACGATGTGTCGTATAGGAGTAAGCCAGCCAAGACACTGATGAGCGAGCTCCCTAGCATCATTATCCCTGGTTTTTTTTAGCTGAAGTTTTTAGAGAACTATAAGAAACTATTTATTAACTTTTAACTAAAAAGTTAAATAGAACTTTAAATAAACATGATATAAAAGCATATTAAAAATACAAATCATAAACGGTGTAATCTTGATTTGTATCAAATTTTTAACATATATTCTTAACCAAATCACCTTTCAATTATTGATGTATTGTTTTATCACAGACTCGATTTCGAATGCTCATCATATTGTCGAAATTTGAAAGCATGTCTGTAGAATATGTGAAATCTATTTATGAACTTCAGTTTGATTCTTGTTGTGCAACTACTGATACATCAAACTGATTGTACCAATCTCGTTTGTCTTCTAATATCATATTATGCATAATGATATTTGCTCTCATTATCTTTCCAATTTTTACTTATCCCACATAAGAGCTGGATTTTTTACTATGGCAAATTAAGCTTGCAAGACTCCAAAAGCACACTTGACATCTTTCATACAATTTCTTGATATGTAGCGAATAAGATGCTTTCAGACCTTGTGGAAGTGGAATAGTTTGGACAAAAGTAGTGCATTTTGGATAAGTACCATCTGTGAGATAGTAAGCCAAATGGTAGTCATGTCCATTGACAATATAATTCACTTTTGGAGCTCGGCCTTTTAATATATCATCAAAAAATAGTGATCGATCATGAATATTGATATAGTTTAATGTACCTGGAGGTCCAAAAACGCATGCCATATCCAGAGATCTTGTGAAGCTACAACCTCTAAAATGATTGTTGGTTTTCATGATCGACGTGTATATTGACACTTCCATGCATTCGGGAAATTCTTCCACTCTCAATGCATACAATCAATGCTTCTTATCATCCCAGGAAATCCGTGTATCTCTCCAGTATCGAGTAGGCATTAAAGATCTTTTGGCGTGGGTCTTCTTAGATACTCATCTCCAAATACATTTATGATTCCTTCAACAGAAGGTTCCAAGCATGGAAGCGATGTCATCTCACCAAGTCGGAGGTATTCGTCAACCGCATCAGCTGAGCAACTATATGCCATCATACAAATTGTTGCCGTTGACTTTTGTAATGCAGAGTGACCGAACCTTCGAGCAACATCTCTTCTTTGTTGAAAAAATGGGACTTCACCAGAGAGTCGATCAACAATACACATGATAAAGGTCTTGTTCATTCTAAAATGACGTTAAAATATTTGAGAAGGATATGTTGCATTTTCACTAAAATAATCGTTCGATAACTGAATGTGTCCTTGTTCACGTTGTCTTTCAATGTAGACTGTTTTTTTTTTTAACTTGGATGCTTCTTGACGATCATCATGATGAATGAAAAGCTTTTCGAATTGTTGATCGAAAATTTGGTTGAATTTCTCATCCATCATTTCTTTAAGATTATTAGAAGGAGAAGAAAAAGCCATTTAGACGAAACAAAATCTTAGTGAAATGGTAAGAGATACAAATTCTTAGTGAAATTGATAAAGAGAAACAAAATCTTGGTGAAATGGTAAGAGAAACAAAATCTTTACCCTCGGGAAGAAATGATGGTGAGCACAATTTGGTTTTCATTACACCATACATATTTTTAACTTACAAAGAAAAAAAGAAAACACATCTTGCAAAACTTGTCCACACAAGTCAGAGGTATGTCACATGTAAAGGTTCTATTTTTTCTTGTCTTCTTCTTTTTCTTTTGGCATTTTTTGTGTCATAAGTTACTGTGTTTTTCCTCAAGCTGCATCAGAATGGGCCACACCTATTGTCATATGTTGTCTTCTTGTCCACGGTTTACTCACATGTTGTCTTTGGCTAGACTCTTCATTATCCACGCTTTCATGTCAAGACATGACAATGAACTTACTTCATTAACAACTTTGAACCAGAACTTACTTCATTAACAACATTAAAACTGATCAGAAACGTGGTGACTCTTGTTACACAATACACACAATATTGTAAAGCGGCATAGTGTTACAAGCAAGAGAAGGAAGAGCAGCAATAAGACAAGACTATAAAGAAAGAAAGAGCACAATATTACAGACTCGACAAAACAAAAGCATAAAGAAAAACAAACTTAGGCATAAAGCAAAAACATTAAGAGAAACAAAAGAAAACACAAAACTGCAGTATTAAGAGAGACAATCTCATACACAAAGCAAAAGCATTAAAGATTCATAAACTCAGACACAAAACAAACTCAAATTGAAATTAACTTGACAATATGCCATTAATTATTATTTTTCAAAGCAATTCCTATTTCACTAAGTGGCTATTTGGAGGTGATTAGGCTGTCAAGTAATTTTTGCTTGTTAAGATTCTCATTCAAAACAAAGTTCTTTTGCCTTACCTGCCACATGCTCCGAAACTCCACAAACGGCTTCCCTTGTTCTTCCAAAGTTGTTGCCTTTCTCACAGATCGTTTACCTTTGGCCTTTGCTGTTTTAACACCAACAGGCCGAGCCATTGCTTCATCTTCACCATGGCTCCCTGGCACTGAGGTTGATGTATGTGCGAATTGGTCATCAAGCTTTCTTCTTTTTGACTTGACATTATGTTTAGTAGAAGAAGCTCCACACCATTTCTTATCATGGTGCAGCTCTAACCATGCATGCTCAAGTGTGAACTTGACCTTGTAATCATTGAAGAATATTTCATTAGCAATTTTCATAACATCATTCTCATTATGCCCACTGGATTTCTCTTTCGTTACAGCATAATTACAGCCTACAAACTTACATACACCCTCATTGATATTTCTCTACTGATAGGTCATAAATTTTAAACATTTTCAACCATGATATAGATGTGTTTTTAAAGTGCTTTATAGGATTTTGGAGTCTTTTCATAGCAATTACATGTTCAGGTACTTATTTGAAGAAAATGATGTTTTTGGGACATCTTGGAGACTTTGAGAGAGCTTCTGTCGAGCTGAAGAATCGATGGACGCTTGAAGAGCCATATTGATCGATGATCACCAATTACAATCGATCGACGCAAGTCCATTGCCATCGATCTACGCTAGTCCATTTCTATCAATCGATGCCGAAGGCATCCAAGACTTAATGAAAAATTAGAAGACTTCAAGTTTCAAAAAAGTTCCATTAATTACATCTTAAGTCCCTTGCCGCCTGTAGGCTATATTATTAGGGTTTTGTACCACTTTGGAGGCATACTTGTCTAGAGACCTTCTAGACCTAGTTTGGTGAAGAGCAACTTTGGTTACAATAGAAG